TGATTTTATAATTAAAATTTATATATATGTTTTGCTCCAAATCACATTCTGCCCCAATTAACAACTGGAATAAATTCCAAATCAAAATCTAAACCAAATATAGCCTATTCCCTAGCACTAAACATTTACTCTAACTTTGGTTCCTATTCTAATTGTGATTTGGAACAATCGTAATTTGGGGCGCAACATATGTTTAGCTTGAAATTGTCATTTTTTATATATTTATTATATAATTTTGGATTGGGTGTACTATATGTAGAACTAGTATATTTGCTGTTCAAGATGGACAAATTAAATTTTTTCACGTATTTTATTATTTATTATAAAAAAATCTTGTTTAAAATTTATTTTTCTTAAAAGTTATATTTAAAATTTTGACTGAATATTATCAAAAATTATTTTTTATTTTTATAATTTAATAATTTATTTAAATTTTTATAAATTTTAAGAATGAAAATGGTTTCGAACAATTTCAATCAAATTTCAATCAAATTTTTAATAATAACTCTTTAATAAGTTTATTTATGATTATTTTAAAAAAAATATTAGAAGATTTAATCAAAAATTCATTATTTCAATTAAAAATTTGTATTTAAAGTACTTAGAATAAAATTTCTTGAATAGTAATAAATTTTTTATTTTTAAAATATATATTATATAAATTTAATAAGTATTTATTAAGTTTACATTAATTATTTTTGTTACTATAAATTATTAATAAATATAATGTAATCTAATTTAAAAATTAAATTTATAATGGATCAAATTCCAAATTTTAATTAAATTATATATATAAATAATATATTTACAAGTTTTTAATACTATTTTTTTATTTCAGTTTTTTATTAAATATGAAAACTTTTAATTTATCTATTTGGTTTATTTGAATATTATTTAGGTAATTTATACTTAATAATTTGGTTTAATTTTTAAATAGAAATCTTCCACAATTGCTCGAAATGTCTATAAAATATTTAATGATGAAAGTCAAATTCAACAACAGAAGAATCCTTTAGAAATTAGAAAAATTTATAATAAAAGAAATAAGATCATTATAACTAGTTAATTATGTATATTAAATTATGATAAGATAATCAGATGATGAATATCTAATAATATGCTTTTGGGAATTACCTATTTATTTGGATCGTTGGATATGTTGTCTAATATCCATTTATGTTTTTGGCCCATGGATTCTTGATTGATATCAGCTTCTGGAATGAATGCGTAGTGTCGAGTTTCCTCGATACTATATGCCAGGGAGATTGATCTTCTTTGGTTGTGTTTGAATCTAGATTTTGATCTTGGGATTTGAAAATGTGGCGAACTGTTATATTGCTTGAAGTTGATGATAATGATTCATTTGAATGGTTATTATTAGTATGATTATCAGAAAATGATACTGTGATAATTTCCTCTTCATTTTCAGAGTTCTGGAGAAATTCATTTTCGTCTATATTGATTATTTGGGAGGAATTATCGCATTTGGATGTTGAATAAGAGTTGAATTTTGGGATTGGTGTTTCTATTTCTAAAATAAATTCTTTGTTTTTATTGTTGTTGCTTTGAATAGATGGCGAGCTCTTTTATGGAAAAAATGATACAATTGACAATAATGAATGATTAGAATGACATGATATATTGATCAAAAAATTCTGCTAAGCATGTATCTCATGCATTTGATAAATGGTAACTGTTGACAGGAGTATTACTAAATACAAGAAATAAGTACACTAAATACACATAAATGAAGTAAATTTGAACTTTTATATGAATAAATAAAAAAATATAAGATAATAATATATGCGTAAACTCAAACTGCTATGCTTTGACTCGAAACACAGTTAATATCGATTCCATGATTATCACCAGGATTTCTAATGATTTAGACTCTTAAATTAAATCAACGATAATAAAAATTTGAAAGTACAAAGTAGGTATCTTTTTTTGACATTGTCCTATTTTGTTGGAAGTATTTCAACTTGAACCTGTAGTTTTTCTTGCAAGTCACTCGATATCTCTTCATTCTCTTTTATTTCATGTGATATACTAAAATCGAAATCTGTTTGAAACATTAAAAAAAGATAGAAATGAATTAAAGAAGTCAATGAAAAAATAATACTAGACAGTGATTTTACCTTCGTTTGGAACATACAGACTGACAATCGCGGAAACTAAATATCAAAACAAATTATGAAACTTTTATAAATCAAATTAATATTAGCATTTATATTTATTAAATGTACCTGAATCGTTTGAAATTGAAATCATTTTTTCAGTAAAGATTCGACTAGTATAAATTGCATTCGAGTGCATTTTTTGCTGTTCATTCATATTTGTATATTTGCTTTGAAATTTGTCAGTGTATGCATCCTTGCTTATTTTCGTATACTTCAGATCTAGTCCATTCAGGCTCTTTTTTTCTTGATTAAGACACTTATAAATTTCTTCATGTGTTTTAGGATATTCTAAAGTGCTGTAATATTGTAAATGCAACGTATTCAATTCCCATTTATGGTCCGAATCGCGCGGGTAGATAGAATTGATAAAATCCAAAAGTTCCTCAGCAGTTGGTCTGTTTTTTGGGATGGGATCCCAACATTTTTCAATAATAAATTTGCAACATCCGGGAACATTATCTGGTATCGTAGGTCGTACTCCTTTATAGATGTCTAATACGAGTTCAGTATTATGGCTTCGCTCACTAAATGGTCGTTTACCCGTTACAATCTCATACATAATCATCCCAAAGCTATAAATATCTGCAGCTTTAGTGTATGGCTCTCCATATAACACCTCTGGACTGATATACGGAAGTACTCCGTAAATTTCTCGATTAGATTTATTAATCTCTGCTGGGCCAGTAAGTCCAAAATCAGCAATTTGAACATCACTGTATGTTATTAATATATTTCCAGGATGAAAGTCACGAAGCACGAGTTCCTCTTTGTGGATACATTCAGTCCTCTGATAATCAAACGTGAATATAATAATTTTTCTACCCAATTCCATCTATGGTATTCAGAATTAATATATTTGCGAAGATCCCCACCTGCTGCATAATTCATTACTATCGAGTATTCATTTGTAGCTGGGTTTTGAGTTATCCCATAATATTTTAAATCACCTTCACTGCACTTTAGAGCAGTTTGAATCTGTTTTTAAAAAATTTATTTGGATTAGAAAATAAATAAGCATTCGCTTGCACGTTCGAAATTTATTTTTACCTCGTTTATGAACTCGAATGTAATTTGCTTTGAATCACGTAATGATTTCAACACAACTTCATATTTTTTGGCTCGTTTAAATTTATTTTCTTCATGATCCCAAATATTAGTCAATGGTCCATCTAACCAAGTTGCTTTATAAATGATCCCAAAACCTCCTGTTGCAAGATGTTGAAATTTAGTAAACTTTTCAAATGGAATCCATTCGAAAAATCTAGTAATTTTCGCGCATTCTTTTATTAGACTGTCGATATCTTTATTTTCGTTAGACCATTCAGCTTTGTAAAATTGGTGGTGATATTCATAACATTTATGGCAGTAAATATTTTTTCGACAATCGATGCATTTACGACAATTATGAGTATTCGAGTTTTTGAATCTAAAATTTCTCCAGATAGCTTTAATCATCTTTCGAGTTCACTTTATAATATATTTAAAGCGTTACGTGTTTCTGTAGAGTTTTTTTGATATACATGTAATAGAATCAGAATAAATTGGAAATAAATGAATGTACATGTATGATTTATAACTGTTTTATTAGCGTTAGTGATACATGTAATTATCGTTATTGTTATCATTAATTATGCAATAATCCTTACATAATTCGTGATACCGATAAATAGTATTTAATGATCACAAATTAGAATTCTCGTTATTGATATCGTTTTATGTAACATTAATATTTCTTTGTTATACATACGTAATTAGATTTCCGACCAATCTTAATTCCAAATACATGTACGTATAAATATCGAAATTTTCACCTATTTATCCCTTTTCTACCGATTTCACCCTATATATTTGATGCTCACTAATAATAAGATAAACTCAAAGATGACATCTAAAATTTAGAATACTCATGATTGTAGTGAATGTGCTCGTTGTCTAACAAACTGAGGGCTGCTTTCAATGACTAAATCTGATATGTTGTTGTATATACGTACATGTATACGTATATCGATACCAGATTCAGAATCCACAGTGATGTTCATTTGGGCCAATGTACGTATATTGCTTATGTGGCATGGGTGGCACAACCAATAACGATAAGTAGAACAAATGTGAAATACGGTAAACCGACGTTAGAATGTGAATACGTAAAGTAAAGGTTCAATGTTATAGATTCTAACAATTAAAAGGTGAATTATTACTATCTTTAAAGTATAAAGAATTACCATTTCTTCTAACAAGGACAGTGTTCTTAGTTTATATTGTTGAAAATGTTTCATCATGAATTTATAGTTGTCTTGGAAGTCATTCGATGTGTCTTAATTTCAAGTGGTATACATGTAGTATTATTTTGAATAGTTTATTTATATTTTGCTCATACTAATGTCTTATTAAAGAACTTTTTAGTAGTTAATCATATAGGATTCATGAATATTATTATTTTTATAGAATTTAAGATATTTATATATTCATGTATTTTAATTATCTATATTCTCGTAGTTTCTCTTCTTTCTGTTCTTTAGGCGAGCCAGTCGTTGTTGTAATTGATCCAATGTACTATGCTCTACTTTCCTAGTTCGACCTAATGCTCTTTGAACTTTATGAAAAGGGAATAAAAATTAAATATTGTCATCAACCAATCTTTCATGTCCCTATTCTTCCTACTAATTGCAAGAACATTGTAAACGACCAATCCATAAATAAGCTCACACGCATAGAACAAATACTCACTTTTTTCCATTAATGTGATCCAAATAATTGACACTATCCTTCACCACACAATCGCACACTTTACAATAATATCCTGGTTGTTACGAGGCAATACTAGTGCTTTGAACCAACTGGGTCCAAGTTAGCATCGAGCACAACTTTCTCTGTGCGCGCCGTAAGCAAATCACGAGGTCCATCTTCGTCCAAAACATCATCAGCTGGTTTAGGTTTTAGACCTTTACGTTTTCGCTCTTCCTCCTCTTCTAGCTGTTGTTCACGACGAACACGATCTCGTGCACACTGTTCGTATTCTTGTTTGTCTCAGGTACGGCGAAAGCTTGTGTCAAGCTGTTGTTGAAAGTGATAAAGGTTAGAATGGAAGAGTTGAAAAAGAAGAATTTTGAAAAAGTTAATTAGATTGAAAAACAAAAAAGCAATATGTTTATACTTGAAAGTTTTCATTTTACCTCGTTTATAAACTCGGGTGTAATTTGTTTTGAATTGTGTAATGATTTCAACACAACGTCAGTTTCTCCTCGTCGTTCAAATCTATTCCCTTCATGATCCCAATACCCAGTTAATGGACCGTCCAACCAGGATGCTTTATAAATTGAACCAAAACCACCTTTTGCAAGATATTCAACATTGGTGAATCTTTCAAAAGGGATCCAATCAAAAGATTTATAAATATTAATATTATTGCATTCATTTATTAGACTATCGATATATTTATTTCCACTAGACCATTCAGTTTTATAAATTCGTTTATGATATAGATAACATCCAAGACAGCACTTATTCTCTTGACATTTGTTACATTTACTACAATTATGAATATTGTGAACTGAACACACTTTGCAGTATTTTAAATAACTGTTCTGACACCAATCACATTCACTACAATCATGAGTTTGAGATGACATCTTTGAGTTGAATAGTGATGATGACAGTGATTATGTCCAAAACGAAGATTTATATGTGGTGGAGTGGAAGTCGTCGTCGTTCACATGTGTTTGTCAAACGATTGTTGCATGAAAAATGATACGAAATGAAGAAGAGTAAAAATACCCACCTTCTATATATGGAAATTAAAGAATAAATACGTACGTACTGTTCTATTTCGAGATCTTTTTAGGGATAAGCAGAAACGCCAAAATAATGAACATAATACATGTACTAAAATCGAAATATATTTTGCATCAATTAAAGAAATTAATAAAAAAATAATATTAACTAAAATTTTACCTTCGTTTGGAACATATAAATTGACATTTGTAAAACCTAAATATTAATTTGAACTTTAAAATGTCAACATGACTTATATTTTGAAGTGCGCACTTGTATCATTTGGAGTTGAAATTAACTTTGTGTTAAAGATTCAACTGGTGTAAATTGTAGTTGCTGCTCATTGTCCTCGTCAATTTCTTCTTTCTCATCAAGCGATTATATCTTTTCATGAAATTCTTCGTTTTCTTAAAGTGATTTTATCGATTTTATTACTTCACCAAGTTTTTCTCGTCATCAAGTTTCCTTAATTTCGGCCTTTCCATTTTAAGACACTCAATAATTTCTTAACGTGTTTTAGGATACCTTGAAGAGCTGTAGGTAGTGGTAGTACTGAAATGCAAGTATTCAATTTGATGTTCCTAATTCGGTCGGTTTCTGGAATTGGATCCAAACATAATCATTATTTGGTATTTTAGGTTGTATTCTATTATAAATGTTCACCTGTGACAACTTCATATACAATCATTCCAAACTATAAATATCTATCTTTAGTGTATGGCTTACATTTAGTACCACTGAACTTATATAAGGAAGACCCCGCAAATGATATGAATTAAATGCACTAATTTCGCTTCCAACAATTTTTCTTATATGGAATTCATATACTGTATTGCCCATCTCTTACATAAGTCATTACGTACTATCAAGTAGTCTTTTGTAGAGTTATGCCATAATAACCTATTTTATAGCCAATGTGCTTGCAATTTAGAACGAATTTTAAAACAAAAAACAATATGCTTACACTTTAAATGATATTCGTTTATAAACTCAGATGGTAATGATTTCATAACTTTTTGTTCGCCACGTCGTTTAAATTTATTCTCTTCATGATCCTAATTGTGAATTGGTCCGTCCGACCAAGTTGCTTTGTAAATTAATCCAAAACTTCCTTTTGCAAGATATTTAACATTGGCAAAGCTTTCAAAGGGATCCATTCGAATATTCCATATTTTGTAATTTTGTTACATTCATTTATTAGACTATCGATATCTTTATTTTTGCTAGAGAATTCATCTTTATAAATTCGTTTATAAAATTTCCAGCAGTCATCGTTTTTTTTTTTTGACAACTGTAACATTTACTACTATCATGAGTATTGTGAATTGAACACTTATATTCTTCACAATCGAAATAACAATTATAAGCATTCAAAATTTTGGATGCCAACTTTGAGTTTATTTTATTAGTAATTATTGTTTGATTAAAAAACCATTGACATTAATGAAAGATACAGTAGATATTGTAATTTACTTAATCACATACAACCCCGGATTAGTTACATTAACTTTGACTACTTTCCTTGTAATAGTTTTGAGAATCATTGGAGATGGTTATCGCCTAAACTGTTGGATACATTCGTTATGTTGAATAAATTGATTCGTCCAAGTCATTTGGAATTTGTAGTGTTGGTGATATTATTTGTCTCACAGTTTATTAAGCATATGTACCATAATTAAAATGTGTAGGAAATAAATTTATTTAATCAACTCCCAATGAATTCAGAAGAAATAACATTTTAGTTTAATTTTATTTTATAATTTTAGTAAAAAAATGGCTTTCTTTTATTAGCATATACTAATGTAAAACATGCAATCATAACGATTACCACCAGCATTTGGATAGCGATAGGCGAATTTTTTATAACGATAATCAATGAGACCACGTTTTATTTAAATTCTTTACGTAAATAACATTTTAACGTTAAGCAATTGTTTGGTAATTGTGCAAAAAGCGTTGCATATTCGATTTTTCAAATATACTAGCACTATCCCCAAAATTTGTAACAGTAACAATATTTTTTTCGTTGTTTGGCCTACCATTTAGCCGAACTAGCATCCCGTAATTCGAAGAATAGGATACGGAAGCGCTTATCGTTTTTTTATGAGGACAGAACCTCAGCATTACGATGTCCTCTGTGAAAAATAGATAACTGGTACCGATTTCCTCGATATGACTGAAGAAAAGTTTCTCAGTTGTGGGTTATAGGTGGTCCAACAACATGTCTCGTAAAACAGGTTAAATTTCTCCATGAGCAAAAGAAGCGTTCGTTCTCCTCATACTGCAGTCTGGAAGAAGTACTAGCAAAATATGGAATCCAACATTCCGATCTTTTCTTGGCAAAAGTGATCGGCGTTCGCAGAAATCATATCGATATTTTTTTCTTAGGGATTCTTCACACGTCAGTTATATATTTTTTTCACTTACTATACCACCCATTCTCTGCTTCAGTTACTCACAAATCGATAAAAATGGACCGGAATTCAAGCTTTGTACTTCGCAGATTAAAAAACAAGAGGCCAGTCTTTGATAATAACGAGGTATGCGTCATGTGGGTTGTGGTATTCTAGTAATTATTTATTATTTTTATTAATAAAATTACCCGCATGGATTACGTGAATGATATTATGAGTCGTAGACCCGAGCTCTGCCTCTTCTATTTCCGGCCAAATTAATTTTTTCGCGTGTTAGTCATCTTTTGCTTTTCAGCTGAAGATGTTTGAAATTTTCGGCTGGTCGTTCTACGAAGCTGAATTTGAGATCTTTACTTCGAAACGACACTGAAAATAAAAATCACCACGATAAGACTGAGTAATTTTTTTCGCTCACCTGCTTTGATATTTTACCTAATACCTGTTTCGTTATTTTCTGTTTCATAAATATCGATATTGTTATTTTCGGAGCCAGTATGGTCACTATCAGAGTCATTAAACTCTATATTCATTAGAGGCTCGGGTATTATTATTGCTAAATGACAAGTGGCAATCGAGATTTTCCAATTAATTTACTTTGTTTGATGCATTGTTGCCTTTAGAATCGATTCCTATCCTTAATTTAGACTTGCGAAGTGGATACGGAGCTTTTGGAATCACAAGATCCGTATCCGCTTCTACAGGTTATGACATGACAAAAAGTGTCGATGCTTCGCATCCTGATTTTGTTTCGATGGGATAGCATCTGTGTTAGCCTAGAAAGCTTTAAAAATAATAATGATGTCTCAGTTAGTTTGTACATATATAACTAAATATTCGTATCAGTATATGGAGTGCCTATTTCTTGTTAATACAGTTTTCTTGTTACATGCAGTGATTTTTGGATATTTTTGTAGGATCACAGAATTATCTATAAATATGCTATTTGGTGTATCCTATTACGTACCGTTACATGAACAATTATATCTTCCTTAAAGAATCTATCCCTCACCAAAGGTGACTCAAAAAGAAATCAAGTTTCTTTGAATTTATCTTCTGGAAACTCACTTTCATTTTATTTGTTCCACATGTGACATCATCTATTGTCGACGAAAATTATTGATCTAACTATGTAAGATGTCTTTGAAGCACTTCTTAAAACACTTTCCAAATGCCGTTTGCACCACCAGTCGAATATTCACTACGAAATTAATATCAATTCCAAATAATACAGGTACTTTTATTTTTAAATTTATCATATTGACATTTAAAAATTAGATTAAAATATTTAGGTTTTACAAGTGTTAATTTATATTCCAAACGAAGATAAGTTTACATTTGAATTTTTTTACTGACTTCATTAATTCATTTGGCATTACTAAACAGATTTTAATTTTAGTACACCACAGGAAATCAAAGCAAATGAAGAGAATTCGAGCGTCTTAGAAGAAAAACTCCAAATTTATGATAATATCAAAGAAGAAATGGTGACGCTTTTAATCTTTTTATATTTATTAAAAACATTAGAGACCACAATCCTGACGGTAGTCATTAAAAATTTTTAAAGCAGTTTTTTTCAATGTCTTTTGTTTATGATATATTTGTTGATATATTTAGTAGTTTTATCGTATTTATTCTAAAATTTAATTCTTTCATGTGTACTTAGAGTATACAGGAGCATATTACAGTAACGAAAAACGCGATAATGCTATTTTTTTACTTTCCTGATACTATATAAATATTCAATTACATATGTAGTTTGGTTGATGTCATTTATCGTTATTGACTTGCTATGGTGCATACCATCTAAAGTTATCAAATGTTTGTATTTTATAAAATGGACAAGCTTCACTAAGAAGTAATACAGAATTTAATCAGTAAATATGATAGAATAGGCCCTTTCTGAGCATATTTACAGATTAAATTGTGTATTTACTTCTTAGTAAAGAAGTTTATCCATTTTATAAAATACAAACGTTTGATGACTTTAGATAGTATGGGACATATGCTTAGTAATTTAGCAATCAACTATATAAATTAATAAGCATTAAAGTAAAACTCTATGTACTATTAATAATGTTATATTATTGCCTCTTCATCTATATAATACGTTGTTGTTATAAAAATCAAACGCAAAATACTCTTTTTATGCATATTATCTAGCCAAACATTGTAGGCTTATTATAATCATGTAAACAGTAATAGTGATTTCATAAGAATTAGTTTCTGCTGTAGTTAGCAGAAAAATTTTCAAATGGAAAAATACGGTTCTAGTACATAAATGTTAAGCACTATAAAAGAAATACGTACAAATTGGTGCGTCATTGCAGAATGCATAATACATGCTTAGCTTTCCGTTCGCTAAAGCTCTTTCAATGTTTGATATAAATGCTTCGTAAAATATTTATTAGCAATCATCAAATATCTCATTTTAAAATAAATTTGTATTCTAGACTGCGTGAGATATACTTTATAAAATAATTTCAAATTATCCACTAGCCAATCAATGGTGCCTAAAAAAGCACACTCTCCATTCCCACCCCAGACTCTACACTAGGATGCTGGCGGCTCAGCAAGACTGTGGCAACATATACGTGGCCATAAATGGCTTGTGTGGGATCCATGTAACTATCGATATTTAAATTTATGTGTAACGAAACGAAAACGTACAATTACCATACCATACTGTATAGATTTAATATATCGATCGATGTGGTCTTAAGCTGTTTATTACTTGTATCAAACAAAATTAAAGATCAAATTATCAAGTTTCTGAAAATATAGAAAATTGAAAGAATCACTATTATCAAAGTTCACAAAAATAGAAAAGGATTATCTTAACCAGATAAAAGCTCTTCTTCCAGAAGTTCTTCTGGTAAGATAGGATTTTTTTTTGCAAAGCATGTTTGGCTTATTTTTTCCACTAATACGTCTGACTAGTAGATTTTTAGATTATAGAATCGAGCCGAATATCATTTACAGACATTACCTTAGCCGTCTGAACTCGTTTTTAAGCACCTTATGTGTATTCTTTGGATGAGATATATCACAACATAGCAATTGAAATTCGTGGTCTTGGGGTGGGAACTATTAAGGCGGTAACAGTAAAGAGTTTTTAAGTGCTTGGGTAGATAGTAAAGAAATTACTATTTAGTAGCGAATCCACAGATTAAGAGCTGTCATCGCCTTTCGAGGCAGCTCCTGGATCTGACTAATTTCTCTATGCAATCTTGTAACATAGTTTTAGCTTGCATTTTAATGAAAATTTATACCTGATAGGCTTATTTATCACTGTATAGCTCCGGCAACCCTGCTAAAAAAATACAATCGACCTATAAAAAAAATGTTCAACAAATGTCCAATAGTTTGTAACAAATATTATTAAACATTCGACTTTTGTCTAGTAATCTAGCCATAAATTTACAGACACGTGATTTGTAGGAGTTACCAATCAAATTACAAAATACATGTATAAAATATTGTTGCGTTTATGTTTTGTTTTAACGAATTAGAAGATTATGCTGCAACAGGACTTTGGGAGAGATTGATAGACTGTACAGTTGTTTCGGTATTTAAGTCTGCCGATATCGTCGTTTATGTTGATTGGGGGAGGAAGATTATGTATTTCGGGTGCGTGTTAGGGGAATTTCCTTTGTTGTTACTTTTTATATATAAAACCTTAAACTCTTAATAACAATCGTTGCTTTTTCTAGACAAAAGCCTTAAACTCTTAAAAATAATAACGATAATTATGATCACAGAAAAACGGTTTTTCATTAACAATGCGATTCTACACAAAACTAAGCCTTTTCTGGTACAAAGGACCTAACCAATAAGCAATACGATATCACGATTAACGTGGGAAAAAGGGGGATGAGTTTTAAGCAATAATTCGCTTTTAAGAATAGTTGTACGCAAAGATTCAAGCTGTATTTTGTTTGGAGAAGAATTGTACACAATTTTTTTCTATTCTTTATTAGTAGCCCGTGGGCCATTCTTTTTTGTGTACTATCAAAGAAAAGAAAGCATTACGTTTTATTATTAATAAAAAAAAGAGTTTATAACGGACGTTTAATCATCTATAGAAGAAACTATTACAAAATCGAAAACTAATGGAATCGTGCTGAAGAATGATAAGGAGATACTGAAAGCGATGCAGGAATGCTGAATGATGAGGAGATGCTGAAAAATGATGGGGAGACGCTGTAAAAAGACGCGGGGAATGGCGTAATTCCGTGTTGCATACTAAAAGGGAAGTTTGTTGATTTAATAGCATGTCGTCATGCTGAAAAATCCACAAATCGCATTTTGTTGACATTCGTGACGAGATTTGCTTCTGTTTTGATGAAAAATCTACAGCAGCATTGTTTGATAATTGTGGTGGGAATTAGCTGCTGAAAAGTTTACCGGCGGTAACAATATTAATATCATTTCGATTATGGTTAGGAATAAGGTTAGAGTTAAGGTTATGTTATATTGCGTGCCAGCATATATAGTAAAAATTCACAAGAAATATTTTTTGTTAGAACATCAGAGACGGTTTCATAGAGATACTTGTACATATACAGCTATTTTTCCAAAACAGACGTTTTGAATTTTCTGATTTTCTGTTACAGATGATCTTGCGATTTGGTTGGTTATGAAAAATTTCTACATTTGTTGTACGAATGTTGAAAATAATGTTGAACAACAATATTGGACATTTTTTATAGGGCGAGAGAAAGAGGAACAAGGAACCACGAAAGAAAAAAACGAATATATGTAATTAAGTCATTAATATAAAGAAATAAACTTATTTAATGATATATATAATGTAATAGAAATGAGTAATAAGGTTTGTCCACTGTAAGACGATCCACCATACATCATTACCCTAGCCATGGCAAAAAAAGGGTAATATAGATTATTGTTAAAGGTTAATTTAAAGGTTAGGATTAGAATTAGGGTTAGAGCTGAAGTCAAGGTTATATGTAAAATTGTCTTCCCAACTTTTTTTTGTGTACCAAGCTGGATTTAGGCATCTATTTCCCGTATTTTTATGGTTTGTGCCACAATAAGCACGCGATCCGACCCTTTTATTTCGCCATGGCTAAGTACCCTAGCTACGGAAAAAAAAGTTACTGTCATGTGATATGAAATAGGCCATTAAAATATCAACATTAGATATCAAGTATAATGATACCTGACGAAACTATTTTCATGATGACGAAACATTTCGTCACGTCATTCGTCAGACGAAATCCCTTACGATTGACGAAACCTGTGACGAGTGACGAAACTAGTGACGAAACCTTCTGACCAATCAAAATAATAGCTTAATCACATGTACAAATATACGTATTCCGAAGTTTAAAAGAATGTTACATCACGATCATGAGAAATCTAGTATGTGTTTGATTGGCTGAAGGTCATAAACGATCAAAATTATGCTGAATTTTGGCTAGCATTACAAAAAGTGTATAA